CATCCCCGCGGCACCAGCCAGCAGCGCCCTCCCCTCCCCGGCCGTGGGGCCCTGCACGGCCAGGCGTGGCCCACCCCTAGCTGCATGCCAGCAGCACCCTTCCCCCCACGGCCATGGGGCTCTGCACAGCCTAGGCCCGGTGCGGCCCGCCCCTAGCTGCACGCCAGCAGCACCCTTCCCCCCGCGGCAATGGGGCCTTGCATGTGCCGTGCGCCCGCGGGTGTCACCGTGTGTCCGGGTCCGGGACACCAAAATGTCTTGGCCCGGCGGGTGTCACCGTGTGTCCGGGTCCGGGACACCAAAATGTCTTGGCCCGGCCCTGCTGGTGAGGTTTGTAAAACCAAACTTGCACAAGCTGAAGGTGATTTGTTTGAGGGAGCTCAGTGTGTGGAGCCTGGCAGTGTGGCTGCTGGGAGGGGCAGCAGGCCTGAGGGGAAGGGTTTCTTCCCAGCTCTCTGTCTGCAGGAGGTGCCCGTCAGCCTGGAATGGCTGAGGAGAGAGCTGTGGGCCCACATTCAGCTCTGGGGACAGCTGAAGCTGAGCAAGGGGAGACCCCTAAGAAGTGTCACAATGTGCAATGTGCGTGATTTTCTGCAAGGGCCCTGGAAACTGTTAAGAAATGTACCCAGGACACACTGTATGTTAAAAAAACTGGTGATACTGACATTGCACTGTTGATACCTGTAATTGAATTTGGAGCTTCTCACCTGAGAAGGAGCATACCAGGACTGGTGTGCTCTGTGGAAAAGGGAAACTTAGGGTGTCACATGAAAGCTTATGTTCTACTGATTCTGTACATGCTATTCATGTACTTGTGTAATGTCTGAATGTGGGGTTATTATTATGTACTCTCTGTTGATGCTGGAAGGAAGATTCTCTGTCTGAGGCAGAGCAATGGGCAGGAATGACGCCATGGCTGCTTTGCTGTGGCAGACAGCTGCAGAATATCCATATTTCATGCATGACACTGTGTGCCTCTGGCTGGACATGCACCATCTCTTGGGATGAGACATTCACATCTTATAGATATAGCTTGGACTTTGCTCCTCTTAGTCTGCGAGTTCTCTCTCCCTGCCTCAGGAATTATGTGGTAATGACTTTCAATACTCAAGTGTATGTTCACAGCTTCTAAGCTAGTTTCAGGTTTTTTCAAATCGCTCCTGGCTTTTATTCTATTTGACTAATTCTGACGGTTTTGCTATTAGTATAACTGTGGCTAGGGATAAATCTCTCTTCAGCTGTATTTGCTGTGAAAACACCTGTTAACCCAATAGCCAGCCTGTCTCTGATTCATGTTTTGTATTCCTAAAATCAGTTTTCAGCCAATGCATGCATTTTCACACTGCCCCAGCCTCCCTCCCCTGT